AGAGAGAGAGAGAGAGAGAGAGAGAGAGAGAGAGAGAGAGAGAGAGAGAGAAAGAGTCTCCTTTTTTTTGGGGGGGGGCGGTATTTTCCAAATACCCCCATAAGTTGAGACATATGTCAAAATGTCCCTTAAGAGATATGGGCACAGTGGAATGCCCAAGCCATTTGCAGTTGCGCTGTAACTTGCGCATACAAAAACTTGGCAATTGCCGGGGCATTTTGCAAAGTTGGGCAGCGTCCGGTACGGGTACATTGCAAAGATGGAGTCCAGCTGATGGATGGGGTGTTTTGCAAAATGTTTTTGTCATTGTCCTTTGCCGCAGGGTAGCTGCGGCGGGTCCACTTGTTATTWTTATTATTGTTAATAAGGAGGTGGGGGTCCCTGGGGGAGTAATTGGAGGTTGAAGCGAGATGAAGGGGGATTGGCATTGGTCTTGGCTGGTGATCATCATAATCTTCTTCTTCCATTCTTATTTCTTCTTCCTTTGTCTATTTCTCTTTCCAGGTTCTTTCGTTTCAGTTGCAATTGAACGGCATTGTCTTTCTTTGAGTTGCTGCACTGCAAGATGGCAAGGGTCATAACAAGGGGCTGAGTTTCAGGGCTTACTAATAAGCTTGTGCTTCAATCTCTCTTCTCTGTCGCATGGATGATTTCTTGATAAAAATTCTTCAAGTTTTCACTTTGAGATCTTCGCATGACCCGATTAGCCAAAGCACACGAAGGCTTGAAGGGTTCTTGGGTTGTTCAATGCTTGTATACTTTGGCATGATGCATGAAAAAATTGTTCTCATTATTTCCTGTTGCTTAGTCGCTGTTTGCACGACTCGTCATTTAAAAAAGGATCTTCATGGCCGTCTCGCCCTCCAGCATAGCCCACCTGTCTTGGTGCCCAGATCGGTTGAGCCAAATATCTCCCATAGGAATGCAGGAATGACTGCATCCAGGAGAATACGGGCCAGAGTCTCACCCAAAGAATTTTTTTCCACATCGTCAATAGAAACACCCCTCCTGCCCAGAGAGTCTCTTGGTGTGCCGGCTTTACGCCGGAGCTCTGCCAGGCATATATGAACACCCCTTCACAGTGTTCACACGCATCCACACATGGCGCGCCCCTCTCATTCACAGATTACGTACTTCGCTGCATATACTGCACCGCCATCACGTTCAGACTCCCTTGAAAATAGCTGTCGGGTGATCTCTCTCTCTCTCTCTCTCTCTCTCTCTCTCTCTCTCTCTCTCTCTCTCTCTCTCTCTCTCTCTCTCTCTCTCTCTCTCTCTCTCNCTCTCTCTCTCTCTCTCTCTCTCTCTCTCTCTCTCTCTCTCTCTCTCTCTCTCTCTCTCTCTCTCTCTCTCTCTCTCTCTCTGTGTCTGTGCTGCCCCTTCCTTTCCTTCCTCCCTTGCCCTCGGAACACAATTTTTCCCTCCGCTCTTGCCCCTCCATCGCGGCACGCCTCAGCACTTGTTATGATCAGGGAATATACAGTCAGTAGAGGCTACCGCCTGAAAGACAACTGGGTGGACCCAGCGCAAGCGATTGAAGAAAGGTCGGTGCGGTGGATAAACCATTTATCATGGGGATATAACCCAGACATTATAATCCTATCAGACCTCAGAAGGTCAGAGGGCTGCAGTGGGTAGTACTCTACAAAGCAGTTCCAGAGAATGAATGGGTGGATCACAGATGGAAAGAGAGTCTCAGAACAGAGGATTCCCCACTTTGCAGGATGTGTAACCTGCACATCACGGTATCCTTGTCTCACTGCTTTGTTGAATGCCAACATGCCGACATATTGTGGCAAAAATCAAAGCTGTGTGGGAGGATCTATCTGGGAAGCAAGTTCCACAAGATTCTTTCTTCATCCTGACAGCCAAAGACAGGCTGGAGCAGATTTCTCCTAAGCTCTGGGATATGCTGGACCTGTGAGGGAGGACAGGGCTCTGGTTATATGGGAGGCCTGACGCAGACTGACGTTGGTGAATTCGGTGTTTTCCCTTCAGGAAATGTGGTAGAGACAGAAATCCGGCACAATGGAAGATAGTGCTGTGAAAGTTGGAAGCAGTGGTGGATGAACAACAGAAGGCACTCTTGGGAAAGCAATTTGAAGATGCTTGGCTGTATGAGGGGAAACTAACGGAAATAAAGGAAACAACCTTCTGTTTCTTAACGGGAGCGGAGATCTCTAGATCGATTTTGGAGGGAGCATGAATAACAGCTGGAATATTTGGATAGGGAAGCAATCCATACTTCTACTTCTCCACGACCTCAGGCCTTACCTTGCGACTGATTAGTCAACTGAAGAAGATTGGTAGAAAAAAGGGAAGCAGGAGTGAGCCGAGGTACATCCTTCCTTCTCAGAATGTAATCAATGCCGCTGTCTCAGGGTGCCTTGACCATAATGGAGGAAAGCGTGGTGTGGGTGCTTTTCTGTAAGGGACGCTGAAAGTGAACTGAACCCGGTTTTCCGCAAAGCAATGTAATTTATGTTATATGAAAAACGGCACTTGAACTAGGCAGATAGAAGATGTTTGCTAAATGCCGAAGAATGGACATACCCTTGATGGGCCTAGTTCTGGAAGTTCGCTACAGTGAACTGAGAGGGTACATCTAGACGAATAGTCAAGAAAAAGGAGGTCTTTTGTAAACACTATTGACAAAGAGCTCTGGAGGAGATGGACAGAAACTGGGGCGCGAACAAGGGCTGAGGAGTGGTACGCCCTTCCAGTACGGGAAGCAATCAATGCGGCCCTCTTGGTCCCTTGGCCATAACGAAGGCAGGCATAAATATATCAAGTATTGTCAATGTACACTGCACCTGGTTCCCAGTTTTTTTTTAAATGAAAAAACCGGAAAGCAGCTACATTCTCTATTCCACCAGGGCTTCACAACCAAAGAGAAGTTTGGGGGGGGAAAGAAACAAAAAAGGCTGCTACTCACTTACACGAGGTACACAAGTTGTAAGTAGTTAGTATGATCTCCACTCCATGAATTGGTGGCAAGTTTGGTTAAAATGACCCTTGGGTTTTGTTATAAATGGCATTAGAAGTTGTCTGAAAATTGAGGCCTCCGTTAACCGCCTCTCCACGAGGTATCATACTACTCACGTACAAGGTCGAGGCAATTTTTTAAAGGGGAAGATGCTCACCAAACTATCCCCATTACCATGTTGCCCAGAGTTTGTATCCGAGCAGATCACCTTTGAAATGACTCGGACAGAGACCAAGGAATGTGACAGACAGCAGCATTGACTGTTAACCCCTCCCCGTATCATACTACTCACGTACGTCGAGGCAATTTTTTAAAGGGGAATATGCTCACCAAAGTATCCCCATTACCATGTTGCCCAGAGTTTGTACCCGAGCAGATCACCTTTGAAATGACTCGGACAGAGACCAAGGAATGTGACAGACAGCAGCATTGACTGTTAACCCCTCCAGTGATCTAGTTCTTGATTGCTCCATTGAATTTCGCTTATGGCCCATGCTACCGGTTGATGGCATGCTGCAATAGCTGGCTTCCTGCATGGTACGGCCTATCCTCTTGTTCTTGTTGCTCAGACAAGCAGCTAGTCTTACCAGGACTTAGGCAAAGACATATGTCCTTGCTGTCTGTTGATTGCACATGAGAATGGAATAGGGAGGAGAAAGGAAAGAGGTGGTAGCTGACAAGGAGGAAGAGGAGGAGGAGGAGGAGGACGAAAGGAGGAGGCAAGAAATGGGCAGAAACGTAGCGAAGGGAAGGAATAAGAGAATGAAAGACAGGGAGAAAGGAGGTGGCAAGAAGTGCCGGAGGAAGAATGGAAGCAGATACCAGAGGAAGGAAGGATGTATAAGAAGAAGAGGAGGTAAAAAGCATGACAGCAAAGGAATGAGATTTGGGTACAATGCTGTTACATACATAAGGCCGTCTGTCACCATAAACGCTGCCACGATCATCCCAGATGCAAAAGAATCGAAGAACCTTCCCATCATGCTTTAGGAACTGCATCGTCTTGAAATCTCGCTTGTGCCTAATTGGGATTCTCTTTTGACGAGCCCGATAGTGTTCGATAGGCTCATCTGGTAAAGGTTCATCATCAGCAACAGGAATTCCTGATCTCAACAGGAAACGCTGCAGACAAGGGAACGAAACACAGCAACCACAACACGGGCTGAAGTTCTCAAAACAGTCAAATGAAACGAACAGCTGGAGCATGACTGTTTATAAATTGCATGGGAGACAGGCCATGTTGTTAGCACTGAATCACTGAATATAAACTCTACAAACACAGTCAGCACATTCTTTAAGCAATTAACTTGAATTAAGATTAATTAAATGTATTTCAAAGCAAACCACATCACGAGTGCATGGCCAGCAAATGCTACAACCTGTGTTACAAATCAACAAGTCAAGTTCAAACCGTGACGAATACAGTAATCTCAAGTTGTTTCCCCTTCAGTACAACATACCAAAAACGCCACCTTGGCTTGGCCCGGAACATTCCTAACAACTGACCTTGAATCTTCCATGGACAAGATAGCATGGTGGGGTTGACCTTAAGATTTGGAGCTAAGCATGAGGCTGGGACTGGTAGTAGCTTGTCAAAAATAATATCAGCCCACTGGGCTTCGAACAAGGGGTAAGCACTATGAGTTTCCCAGTTTGTTACGGGGCCATGGGTAACCATGGGGCAAACGCCTTTTCTGAGACCCTCATGGACCTTGAAAAAAAGATTTGCACTCTGAGGCTGTATTTCACCAGAAGGCCCAGGCGGCCTCAAAAACAATTGTGCCATGATTTCTTTCACCACCATGGCAGGGCTGCACGTAATGGCAGCACCATCCGTGGAGGGTAAGAAGCAAGGAGAGGATTAGGAGGGCGTAAAGGTTGGACATGTTGATTTCAAGCTTGCGCGGTAGTGACACACTAAGAAGACAAAGTAAAGGAGAAGAAAAAGGCAAAGAAGAGAAGAAGAAGAAGAAGAAGAAGAAGAAGAAGAAGAAGAAGAAGAAGAAGAAGAATTTGGGGAGATTAGCCTCCTTGACCATAATGTCTTTCTCCCTTTTTCTCACTTGCGCACACAGCATCCTCTCGCTGTCTCTCTCTCTCTCTAAACATGTGTGTGCAACGAACTTGCAGTTTCTAAGCGAGCTGTGACATAACAGGGCCACTTTCGCAATTTCTTTGAGTCTGGGGCCCTACCCGGTAACTGCGTGGAGGCACCGTCCCTACGGGGACTTTTCCTTGATTTTCCAAAATTGCAGGCCCACACTGACTTTCGGGTCTGGGACAGACACCGTCGTACTGGAAGAATATAGGCCCGTTTGTTTTGTTGAGTCCTGGGTCGGTCTGATAGGTTGGGTCCAGTAGGTCGTAGGGATTCTAGAAATAGTTTAGTGGCGATTGGGTTGGGGTTCTTTTGGATTCTCACTGTTGGGGAAATGCTGTCGGGCAATCAGGTGACGCCGCTGCTACGTGCAAGACGACGGCCATAGCTGGGAAGGTAAGCTGGACTGGTGAACAGTGCTATAGAGGTTGAGTGCTATAGAGGTTGAGCGCTACAGGTGCTCCAGCGGGAGGTCACACCTGTCCTGGGGGAGTTAGTCGCTGCCTGGTCTTTTCTCTTGGCAGTCACGATTACTTTCTTCTTCGGAGCTGGGGAAGAATCTTCATCCAGGGAGCTGGCACTGCCCTTCTGTCTTGAGCGCTACTTCTGCGAATGGGTTTCTGGTGTGTTTTCAGGGTGGAGCTTGGAAGTAGGAGGTGACGTTGGTAGTCTGCAGGCAAGAGGGGTTGGGCGCTGTCCATCGTGGGCGCCATAGCTAGGCTTACAGTAGCTGGTGTGGAGGAAGGAGAAGTCTCCACGTACTTCGATGGAATTTGCTGTTGAACTTGCCGCTCGCCGTCATTGGAACTTGGTTGAGATTCTGGGAATTTCGAATATCTGATTGGTTGGAGAAGGGAGGGGGATGAAGCAATGAAGTTCCCACTTCATTCTATTTTTGTATCTTGAGATTCCACTGTGTACATCTCTCCGGTTTTGTGTGGATTTGCCTTCTCTAAGTCTGCTGATCCATTGCATGCATGAGTGGGGACGTGTGAATGATGTGTGGATGAAACTTCAATCAGTTACATAACATGTGCACACGTGCACACACAGAGTTGGTTCCCAGTTAGATCTGTGTCACAGATGAAGCCCCAAGCAGACTACTTTCAACAGACTACACATGATGTGGGGTCACCTGCCAATCCTAGCAAACAGATGCATCTTGATGAATCCTGCCATTCTCTTGTGAAAGTGCTATGCACCATATGACTTGCGGAGCCATTTTATAGGCAGCAAAGTTGAAGTCACTGTTCAGCTAAATGGTGGAAAAAAGTTCTTTGCGTTGTTCACATTTGACTACTGTAGCCACTTCCATGGAATCTGGGGTGTTAGTGGTGTCTGGACTGCTAAGATGGGTCTTGACTCTTGACTGTCTGCCAAGGGCCTAGAGGGCAAGAGGAACATTCTCGCTCTTGGAGCCTCCAAACCTCGGAAAACATTACATTCTAACCATACCTGAGCCTCTTCCACAATGAAACCAGGTTCAGGACTTGTAAGGACGGAATAATGCAGCCCTTGCCTTGCAGAACAGAGTAAGGATTCTCCCATCCTTGATTTAATTTTCCAAAACTATACCTTAAAAATTGGAGTGATACAGAGAAGATTAGCATGGCCCCTGCACAGGGATAGGAGAGAAAAGGAAAGGACTGACTGGCTCCTTGTCTTTCAGTTTGCGTCTTTGTTTTCACTGAAGAACCAGAAACTCAAGTACCACTACAGGGAGCTGAGAAAGAAGTTTGATTCATTGAGGAGTGGACCAACCCTTGTGAATGGATCGCATGAGCAGATGTGGAACGTTCGTCCATACATAGTAACTTCTTGTCCGACATGTAAATCTTCAATGGTCACTGTTTTTCCATTCTTGGCAACTGTGCTAGGAACCACATGCCGCTTCAGAAACTGTCCTTGAGTGATGCCACTGTTATCTTGCCTCGGCTCCTGTGCAAAGGCAAAGGTAAAAGCGAAACAGCAAGGAAGGTGAAGAGGAGTTTGTCAGCATGGTTCCTAAAAATGCTTCCAACATCACACTAATAGCACACACCTCCACAAGTTTCCAAATGTGGGAAGTTGGGAGTTTTAACCTTGAAATCAAGCCGTGGTGGATATCCTCTCTAAAAGACTTACGAGAAGTTGTGACAAATTTTAGCAATCCAATAAACCGGTTGCTTGGGAGGCCGAGCGGCCAAACATCACCGCCCCAGGAGGCTGCTGCCTCACTATATCTTGCTGGAGAGCCAAGAGCTCTCCCTCATTTGCTGTGTGCATGTTTGTCGGTCATGCTGGTTGAGCGACCGGTGGAGTAAAGCAGCGCCCAGCATTAGCCGCACTATGGGGAAGGAGCACCTCGGCTTCCACCTCGGCTATGGTGGAAGGCCAGAGGTAGGAGGAGGAAGAAGGGTACCTGGAGGAGAGTGGAGGAGGAACTTACCTGACTATGGTGGGCACCATCTTCATCACCTTGTCTCTGGAAGGCCCCAGTTGGGATAGCACACCAAGAAGGCCCCAAGGCAGAGTCAGACATGGCAGCCGGAAGACAGCGGACATAGCTGCTTTGCGTTGTCTTTTGCACGTCAGGGCAAGGCCCTTAGTAGTCCGCCATAGCCTAGGCCTGTTCGGAGAGTGCGGAGAGGGAGGCTATGGCTATGGTGGACCTCTTGATGTGCTAGCAGTAGGGAGAGGATTCGGACATTGATCCTGGTTCAGCCATTCATCATTATTATTATTGTTTATCAAACTTTATTGTTTGAATAAGAGAGGGGGAGTTAAGGAGGAGGAGTTGATTGGCGAGAGAAGGGGGAATCGTCATTGCTCTTTTGCTGGTGTACATCTTCTTCTTCTCCTTTCTTTCTTCTTCTTCTTCTTCGTTATCTCTCTCTCCTCTCAGGTTCATTCATTTCTTTTTGCAATTGGACGACATTGTACTTGCGAATCTGCACTTCGAAATTGGCCAAGATCGTAACAATTACGTAGTTGACTGTCTGAGAACATGAGTACACCATTGTAGATAGGATCATGCAGTCGGTCTCGGTAATCCACTCAAACCACCAACCCTACACACATAAAAGGGGTATAGCATTACATAAGGGGGTGGCGAGGTGCAGGCGCTGCCGACCTCCCACCTCCAACATGGTTTGTCGCTGTGCAGGTCAAACCTTGGCCCAGGCTACTCTATAGATAGTGGAAGTCGGGCCTTGTACGTTGTCTTTGGTGTCTGAAATGTCCACAAAAGACAGAAACAGTCTTCAAAAGCAAACTGTGGCTCCAACATCGCAGACGATAGTGGAGGTGTCTGAAGGTTGAGAAGCTGCAAATGCTTGGTACCTTCACGGTCTCCTGCTTGCAGCCTCCCCACCTCCAAGGTCCCTCACATCGGGCCGCAGGTGATGTTGGAAGTCAAGGCAGGAGAGCCAGTGTCCCCTGCCTGAGCCGCTTCTGCTCTTCCCCCCCTCCATGCCTCTTGCTATTGCTTCATGCTTGCCGGTGATTAGCAACCGGTCTAGAAGGGGCTGTTTGGGTGTTCTGTGGAGGAAAACAAGACGAATGAGGTCTTAGGTCCGACCAAGATTGTTGGCTGTCGTGGCTGCAGTCGCCTCACAGAGGGAGGGGTGGGCGTCAAGGTGGCCCAAAGACAAAAGGAGCGGGTTGAGATGTGGCGACGTTGAGTCAGATTTCATTTCGGTTGTATCCTTTCTTAAATGTTGGGTATGTGCATGTGCATATGTGTAAAACAATCACCGAGCACCGTACCCAACTATGTCCAAAATCCAGAACCTGCAATGACCTGCACAGAGTCAGTCTGAGATTTCTGCTGTTTCCTGAGTACTGCAGCTTGACGAACTGATTTGCTGAGATTTCCGTGAACTTTGTGAGTTTGCTGTGTGCGTGCATGTGTGTAAGTCCCCTTGTGACGATGGCTGTGCGGAGTAATAACCGTGTGCTTGTTCTGTGTTTTCTGCGTTCCCGGAAGGGGTAGAGCTAGAAGCCTAGAATAAGGAAATCACAGGGGCAAGACTGAAATTGGGGTGGGACGGACTACCGGTAGACGCTAGGACAGACAGGGACCAAGTAGAGGGCGAGTAGTACCCGGCAACGAGTTTCTTGTAGCTCGGGCAGGCTCAACAAAGGTCCGGTAGGACAGGTAGCTTACTGAAAAGGTCACGAGTAGTCAGGCCCTAATCTAGATATCAAGTAGGCTAGATTCAGGCCCTGAGGTAGACTTACAGGCTGCAATAATTTTCCTGCCAAAAGGCATGAACTTCAGGTAGGTCTAGCGCCTTGAAGAGGCAGCGATAGACGTGGTACCTCAGCCTAAGTGAAGCTGGGAGGCCGCAGTAGTAAGAGTATATCATTCGGGCAGAACGAGTGAAGCGGCATCTTACTCGGCAATTATGCTGCTGCTCCGCCGAGGGGGGCAAGTTGGCCGGAGTGCCGGAAGAGTGGAGGAGCTTGAGGGCAAAGTAGAAGACCTCCTGGGCTACACAGGAGGAGAGCGGCAGGGAGTAGACCTGGCTATGGTGGTAGAGGGAGAAGCGCCCTATGCCAGAGGAAGGAGAAGGGCAGTAGAAGGGAGTAGGAGGTGAGGACGATTGAGAAGGATAGGGACAGACCTAGAGAGACTCACCTTGCCTATGGTTGCCCTTCATCTTCACTCCCTTGGTTGGCACTCCATCAAGAAGGCCCCAGTGTGGGTCCTGGTTGGTCTTGGACATCTTCCAAGAGTGTGGCTATGGTGGGAAGGGATGGGACTAGCATAGTAGTGTTCGCATTGTCCTTTGAACATCCGAGATGAGTCTGGATGTTCTACCATAGCCATAGCTGCTACGAAGGAGAGAGAAAGTGAGGTTAGGGCTGAGAGGTGGTTTCTTGAGTTGCTGGCAGGAAGGGGGAACACTCAGACATGATTCCTGTTCAATCATGCATTTGTTGTTGTATTTAATTGATTCATAAGCGGAGGAGTAGAGAAGACGAAGAGGGATGAAAGAGAAGAAGAGGAGGAGAAGACATTGCTTTGATTCTTTGTTCTCTATTCGACTCTTTATCTCTCTCCATCCCTTCTTTTGGGTTTCAGCAGGTCTGCATTTCTTTTTTTTTCTTTTCTTTTCTTTTTTTTCTTTTTTTTTTTTCCTTTTTTTTTTCAAACAGCGAGTCTGCATTTCTCGTAATTTGAGTTTTGCACGATGGACTAAGTAGGATCACAACAGTTGGCAATCAGAGCTAGACCGTACTCGCTGGATAGGTGTTTGAGTCACCCTAACCCTAATTCTGAAATGGTTAGTGCAACTTAATCTCGGATTAAGGCGTGGTTAAGCTGGATTAGTGTAGTGGGTTGCTTTGCTACTACTCCAGCCGTAATCCTAAGAGGATTGGGAATGTTAGTATCTCTGATTGGGGCGGCGAGTGACTTTTATACTGCTCTACCCTTCGGGTGGGCGAGAAGAAGGGAGAAGTGTGTTGGAGTGAGGAGGTGAAATTGAGAAGGGTGTGAGGCAGTCGTGGAAGAGGATCTCTGGAAGTTCCTGTGTGACCAAGGTGTCGTCTTCTTCAGTTGGACAGCAGGAGAGAAGCTCCTACGACATTCGGGCTACTCAAGACAGTTACTAATGACTTACATCATCTTCATGGGCAGTGGAGTTGACTTGCATAGAGACCGACTAGTTCTAGTACACTATAGGGTTAGGACAGACCTACTAAGTGCAATCAGACTCGCTTTCAAACACACTTTTCACACATGTAAACAGTACGCAGCACACTGGCGACATGCGCCCACTCAAAACTCAGAGATATGGCTTCAGATACRAGTTCACTCTCAAATGGCTATGGCGACTTCAGCGCCCAAACATCTCACTGTTCACATGCACTGGATCACCCTGGATATCCCACACGCATCACTCTAACACGCGAACACACACACTCACTACTAACTACAGCTATGGCAGCAATGGCTGCCTCTAACCTATCGCTATGCTAACTCCTCCTCTCTTGCCCACTGCGTCCTCCGGGCTCATCTGCAGACCTCCTTGCACAAG